ATGTTTAAAAATGGGTCACCAACCCCAGAAAGATGATTGAAGTCACAGTGCCAAAGATTAAGGGAATTGGAACACCCTGAACCAGATTATCTTCCTGGTAGGCAACATGAGGAGCTGCGGTGGCTCAAGTGGTTAAGACGCTGAACTGCAGGCTGTGGAACGTCAGTAGTTCAGCAGTTCAAGACCCAGGTGCTGCAAGACGGGGTGAGCTCCTGTCTCTAGTTCCAGCTCCTGCCAACCTAGCAGTTCGAAAGCAAGAAATTGCAAGTAGATAAATAGGTACTACTTCGGTGGGAAGGGAACAGCGTTCCGTGCGCCTTGGTGTTTAGTCATGCCAGCCACATGACCACGGAAATGTCTTTGGACAGCGCTGGCTCTTCGGCTTTGAAACGGAGATGAGCACCACAACCCTAGAGTCAGATTCGACTGGCTTTTGAGCAAGGGAACCTTTACCTTTACCTTTAGGCAACATGTAATAAGAGAGCTTTTAAGCAACTTGTCATATGTCTCTAATACTCAGATCCCCAGTCCACCACAGAAGTTTGCTGGGTGACACAGTCTCAGCAAGATCTACCTCACAGGTTGTTGTGAGGATAAAATGGAGGACAGGAGAACAATGTAGCTTTGGGTCCCCACTGGGGAGAAAGACTGGGTATGGCATTTGTCATACATTTAATTTTGCCTACAGTTCAACAGAAAAGGATAGCTATTGCTGTTGCTTCATCCAGTATTGTTGCAGCCTTTTGGGAAGAACATTCCCTATTCAAACTACTGTTAAATAATATGAGCACAGTGATCAGGGCAGGACTATTGCATCTATAGAAGCTATCATAATTGCGTCAAAGAAGGAGCATTCCCCCCCTCTTTCCAAACAAGTGGTGCCTATTAAAAAGGCCCTCCACATCTACTCCATTAGCACAGCCTGTGCCTCTCAATATTACTCTCTATAAGCCATGCGTCTAATTTTGTATTACAATAATTCTTTAGTAAGTAAATCAGTAATAAATCAATTTCAGTTTTAACATTGTAACTTTACCTAGTACAAAAGCAGGGGCAAACTGGGTTATGTAGTGGTGCTGGATGAGAAGTACTGGGACCACTGGGATTGATTTTGCTGACATTAAAAAGATTATGTCATTTGCCATGTAGCAAAGTAGCCTTTACAAAGGGCTATTAGGTCTCCCACCAATACGATAATAATGTTAACAACAACCTAGTGCCTGAACTGGGAGTTCTAACGGCTGTTCCACGCATATAACCACTAACACAGATTAATGTTCCTTTATCATGCATGTACGGGGTGGAGGAGGGAGAAAACATTCTTTTACTACTGTTCATAATATTAACAAAAGTTTGCTACCATACTACTATTATGTACATTCTAAGTTGACAAGCAGAATAGGGATGAGAAGGAGCTGAGACCGACTTGAAAATAAAAGGGGGTGTCATGGAAGAATTAGATGGAGGGAGAGAAGTGAATGAGAAAAATGTGGAAAAGAGGGAGAGAACTTAAGGAAAAGAGAGGGAAAGGTTGTTTTATCTTGCTGCAATGCACTAACTACTGCTTTGCAAGATCTGGATGGTTAAGCAAAACTATGGAGCTGGGTACAAGGAAAGAAAGAAGAAAAGGATAGACTGCTGAAGATAACAACCTTGTTAGCAGTCTGCAGGCTGGCAATTACTGTAAGAACATAAAAAAGCCCAATGGAGGGGATGGGGGCAACCTGTTTGGGGGCCCATAGAATTGGACCCCCTGGTTCAATGCTCCTGAAACAGCAGCTACCCTGTGGTTTTGGAGCCTCTCCCTCAAACCCCCTCCCCTCCAGCCCCCAGAATATACCCTATGTTTTCGCCATTGACTTCAATGGCCCATAGGATATAATGGGGCCTGATATAACCCTGAGCTTGTCTCATTTGCTTTGCGAGTCTGGCCTCCGCACTCCTTTAACGAGGCAGCCCTGAAGCTTGGGGCGGCGGGAGTTTCTTTGCACGCAGCTTGTGCGGCTGGCTGAGTGCCTCTTCTGCTTGCCCACCTCTCGCCTCTGCACCTCATCTTCTGCCAGGCATGGAGGAGCCCAGCTTGCCCAGGCTTCTTGCTTCCTGCTGCCTTGGCCCTCTGGTGCATGGGTGAGTCCCCAAAGTTTGACTCTCCCTCTACAAGTCTTTGGCGCTGGAGATATTCGCCTCCTTCCCTCCTGCCTGCTATGGTTGCATAATTGTGAGAGATTTCTTAGTGTTCCTGCCAGGTAAGCAGTGACACAAAAGTTCATACCCTGCCACAAATTTTGTTAGTCTTTAATGTGCTACTGGACTCTTTCTCTTCTCTACTGCTACCTCACAAGGTTGTTGTGAAGATAAAATAGAGAGGGCAAACAACCTTATTTCCCCATTGGGAGAAAAGGCCAGGTATAAATGAAGTAAATAAATCAGTTGTTGAGAAGATTACTAAGAACGTGTGTGGGGTATTTTGTACTTAGTTGCCACAGCAGTCTGTTCAAGGCTACCCCCAGTGGTTTGCCTAAAGGCATGACTGAACAGAGAGCTCACTGGCTCCGATTAAGTGTTTGAGTGAATGATGCTGCTTGCTATGAGCACTTGAGGATTTTGAGAACAGGAAAAAGACACTTCCATGAAATGGCTGGCAAGGTGGGGTGGCACAGCCAGTCACTAAATGGCTGCCATGGGGGGTTGTGGCCAGTCACAAAAGCATCCTCCTGCAAGGGAGGCAGCTGTTTCTCAGCTGGTGCTCCCTGGAGGCACAAAGGTGATGCCACCTGGGCTTTTCTGAAGCACCACTGAAGTGAGGGCAAGCTAGGACTGGCTATTTTGCTTTGAGGAGGAGATCCGCGGCGCCCCGGGAGGCCCGGCCACCCTCCTCCCCGCGCTTCCTGGCCCCTGGTATTTTTGGCCCTTGTGTAACAGAGTGTTGGACTGGAGGGGCCATTGGCCTGATCCAGCATTGGCTTCTCTTATGTTCCTCAGTGTGGGGCAAGTGATGCTCTGTATTCTTGGTGCTTGGGGGGGGCAGTGGGAGGGCTTCTGGTGTTCTGGCCCCACTGCCGGACCTCCTGAGGGCACCTGGTATTTTTGGCTGATGTGTGACACAGAGTATTGGACTGGATGGGCCACTGGCCTGATCCAACATGGCTTCTCTTATGTTATTATGTCTGGCGCAGTGATGCTCTGCATTCTTGGTACTTGGGGGGCAAGAGTGGGAGGGCTCCTGGAGTTTTGGCCCTGCTGGTGGACCTCCTGAGGGCACCTGGTTTTTGTCCAGTGTTTCCTCTAAGTGCAAGGTAGCTAACAGTTTTTTAGCCTCCGGCTCATACATTTTTGTCTTAATTCAGGAAAGATGCCTCCAGAGCAAACTACTGAGATAGGCAGATTCTGAAGTTGAAAGCTAAGGCTTTGAAAAGATAAGGAGATTTGTGGACGTTATTATTCAATACCACAAGGGTGTGCTTTTGTAAAATTTCTTATAGCTGTCAGTTCGGTAAGAATATTTTAGGCCCCACCTTTAAGGGTGGGGAAAGTTGCCTTTCTTCTTCTACAACACTGAGGAAGTGGCGATTTGTACACAAAGAAAATGAAAACTGAATGAATGCCAAAGCAAAACAACAACAACAAAACCCTCCTTGGTTTAATTGCAACACCACAGTGTCCAGAAAGGGATGTTAAACTAATCCTAAAAGTTGACACAACTATTTTACTCTAATAATGCTTTTGGATACAGTGGATAAAAATGATATCTTGCAAACAAAGGTGGAATGTCTGCCTAATAGCCAGGCAGAAAATGAATGCTTCAGAAAACTGTGCTATTTTTCTAGGGAGCAGATGCTGGCTTTCTTTGGCATCTTGTTGTGTGCATTTCTTTGACATTTTGCTATTGCAGATTATACTGAGCCATCTGGCAACTGCTTAGGCTTCCAGATAAATGAGTTGGAGGCCCTTTGCCTCTCTCATGGCACCAGACTAGTAGCTGACCTACACATGGCCCCTTCCTCTAAAAGAAAAAGAGGAAGGTTTTGCTTTTCTTAGCTTGGCTTATTTATAACTTTACTCATAAACAGAGTGCACATAAATGCTTTTAATTTTTTTCTTTTACATAACCATGTTTTGGGTCTTTGAGCTGAGCAAATCCAATAGAATTGCTTTTTGAAGTATAATCTTATCTGGAGAATAATTCTTTCTTGATTATCAGTGTTTCAATTGATATGCTTCTAAGTTGCTGATAGCTTTATGGTGAAAAGTTATCTGAGATACATTTTTGCAGATTACAGCTGTGTTATGTACATAGCTCTTGCTTTTATTACTCTTTTTAGAATGAGAGGAAGATGCTGGCTTGTGGAAAGACTTTGAGAACAACACTAGATGGTCTAAAACAATGCTAGTTGGTCTAGGGCTGTCTTTCGGCCATGCTCCTGCAGAGTGCAGGGGGTTGGACTAGATGACCTGCAAGGTCCCTTCCAACACTAACATTCTATGATTCTATGATCCTAGAGGTAGCATGTCCCGTGGAAAACTTCTGCACAGAAAAACTAGTAAAAATGCCCACAGGTATCTGAGCGGAGGTGATTGCAGGGTTGGACTGACTATGGAGGCAGCTGCCACCACACCTGGCTGGCAAGCCAGCCTCCCATTGCCTGGTGTTCCCGCCCCGGCATCAATTGGCTCCTCCCACCCTTGTGATCATCCGAGGAGGTGGGGGTGGGGTGGGCAAACGTCATTGTTATAATTGGGAAAAAAAGCTCTTAGGCATGCATATTAAAGTTCACAAGCGTGTCTAATGCTTAATTGCAGTGTGTGTCACAATGTTGTGTGTTGTCTGGTTTAAGAAACCTTTTTATCTAAAACATGTAAGCAGTGCTCATTCATGTCAGCAAAGGTTTCTATGGCTGCATAATTACAAAGTGAATGTTTGTGAATTTATATTAGTTATCCATGGATAATGGATAATGAATTTTCCTCCATTATATAATGAATATATTCTTCCATTTTAGTGCTTTAGCTGGCTACAATGGCACTATATTTGCCTATGGACAGACTGGAAGTGGCAAGACATTTACCATTACTGGGGGAGCAGAACGTTACAGTGATCGAGGCATCATTCCGAGGACCCTGTCTTATATTTTTGAGCAGCTGCAAAAGGTAGAGGACATCTTCTTTGCTCTTTATCTTTAATACAATTCAGTGACCAAATGTGATGATATATGTGAAATAATCCAACTATGATACCTGAAGTATAACCTATGCATTCCTTCACCTTGATCTTTCTGCATAATCTTGCTGTATAATCACCATAATCTTGCTGTATGTGAATTTCATCCCAGCCTCAGTTTGTGTAAATAGCTAGATGCATTAATTAGATTGTTTAAAAATATTGAGTTTTCCTGACCTGGATAGCCCAGGCAAGCCCGATCTCATCAGATCTTGGAAGTTAAGCAGAGTTGACTCTGGCAAGTACTTGGATGTGAGACCTCCTTGAAATACCAAAGGCAGGGGCAGGCTTTATTCAGCCACCTCTCTGAAAATATCCTCCAGGTGCCCAGTAGGGGTCTGTCATGGATTAAACCCACTCAGCCCAGTCCAGGGGTGAGAGGGAATCCTGTATTTCAGCACATTAAACAAAATCCACGAGACAGTCTGTACTCTCTCTGGACTTCACAACAGTTTGCCACCAAAATCTCTTCCAAGGGGTCCCCCCCCAGTCTAAGAGCAGAGATTCAATCTCTTAGCTGACATCTGGGACTTAACACATAAGCAACTCTAACTCAGAGGTGCACACAGTTACTCTCACAACGGTAGCTCTGTGTGGTCAGCGATTAGACATGAGATTTAGCCCTGGAGTTCAGTTACAGCATCAGAGACAATTACAAATATGAATGATCTTTATTCAGTGCAAAGCATACAAGAGACTAATAGAGGATACAGAAACAATAACAACCTATGGCTATTTTCCCTTACTACACATTAATAATAATCATAGTTACCATAGCATCAGGTAGTCCAAAATTGTTCAGTGTAACAGTACAAGTTGGCACCAAGGGATTTTGAAGAGAAATCCCATCTTGTGCAAGTATATAGTCCAGGACTGTTCAGAGATACAGATCCACAATAACAGAAGGTTGGCAACTGCAATCAGTTCACCAAGAAGCTCTTTGTTTCGAAAGACAGGTTCCCAGGAGCAAGAGAGCTCTTCCATAAGTTATACCCCCATACCAGTCATCATCAGCTGTGGCCATCAGCCAATCACGAGCGGCAGGGGGTTGTGCCCAATTTCTGGTTGCCATAGCTGCCACATCAGGTGTGTGGGGATTGGCTAAGAAGTTAGAGGCCCCTCCTGCAGTCAGGTGGTCCAACTTCTAGCTTTCTCCATTGTGTACGTGACATGGCTCATGTAGGCCATAGAGAGGAGCCTTAAAGTCTGGTCCTCAGCAGGGAGGTATTAAGGAATGTGGTATCTGGCATGATTATATGGCATGGCTATTTGGTGGCTCAGCCATCTGGTCAAGTGACAGAAATCACACTAGGCCATCTGGCCTGCAACAGGAAAAGACACCCAGTATGTCAGAATGTCATCACAGGAAGAAGGCATGAGAATTTAGAAATAATATTTCTATACAGGGTCAGTCCCCAGAGGTCACCATGACTTCCAGGTGCACACACAGTAAGTCGCCAGAGGTCACTGACTTCCAAGTACACACACAAGCACGCACACGCACACACACACGCGCACATATAAAAATACAAAAATATTGAGTTTAATCTGAAATGTATATATCGAAACACAAAATCTACTGTGTTCAGATTAAATTATGTTTATAGTATAATTCTGATTATAGTGTTTGGGCTTTTAGAAATGTAGCATATTTTATTAACAGTTGTGGGAGGAGCAGTGTGGGTTGATTGGTGCAGTTGGGTCAGAGGGTGCCGTATTCTGAATTTGGATGTGCATATGCAAAAAGAATATATAGTGCTGCTCCAGCCAGAAACCAGGCCAGTGGACAAATCCAGAGGTCAAAACTATAGAAGCTAGACTCATAATAAACTGAAGAGTTCCTCAAATGCATACCAAGATCAAAGCCTTTGACAGAAAGAGCAAAACATCTAGCAAAATGGAAGCCAAATAAATGAGATAGGTAGAAGTTAGGTAAAGATAGGCTGAAGAAGAGGACTGATAAAAACAAAGAGAAGGGGGAAACAATCTTGCAAAGCAAGACTATGGTGGATCCCTGGTTTGCAGAAGACCGTTGTTTTATGAGGGTACCCTGTAAGACATAGCATGAGAGAAGAAATAATAGGTGAAAGATTTGGCATAATTATAGAGTCACAGAATCACAGAGTTGGAAGGGGACATACAGGCCATCTAGTCCAATCCCCTACTCAATGCAGGATCAGCCTACAATATCCCTGACAAGTGTTTGTCCAGACACTGTTTAAAGACTACCAGTGAGGGGGAGCTCACCACCTCCCTGCCAATTGATTTGCATGGGCTCCATTGAAATACATTACAGTACAAGTAGGGTCTCTGGGCCCAAATAGACTACTCTGGGACTGGAATGACAGGCCCCAGCTTAGAATGACAGGCCCTAGGAGTAACAGAAGAGTTCTGGAACTGGAATGAGAGGCCCCAGAGTGGAATGACAGCCCCAGGGGGTAGCAGAAACATTCTGGGACTGGAATGACAGACCCCAGAGTGGAATGACAGCTCCAGAGGATAGCATGAGTGGGCTGGGACTGGAATGAGAACCCACAGAGTGGAATGACAGTCCCTGGGGGTAGTAGGAGTGTTCTGGGACTGGAATGAGAGACCACAAAGTAGAATGACAGCCGCTGGAAGTAGTGGGAGTCTTCTGGGACTGCAATGACGGGCCCCAGAATGGAATGACAGCCCCTGGATGTAGTAGGAGTGTTCTGGGACTGGAATGACAGGCCCCAGAATGGAATGACAGCCCCTGGATGTAGTAGGAGTGTTCTGGGACTGGAATGACAGGCCCCAGAGTGAAATGACAGCCCTTGGGGGTAGCAGGAGTGTTCAGGGACTTAAATAACATGTCCCACAGTGGAATGACAGTCCTTGGTGGTAGCAGATGTGTTCTGTGACTGGAATGACAGGCCTCAGAGTGGAATGACAGTCCTTGGGGGGAGCAGGAGCATTCTGGGACTGGAATGAGAGGCCACAAAATGGAATGACAGCCCTTGGAAGTAGCAGAACTGTTCTGGAACTGGAATGACAAGCCCCAGAGTGAAATGACAATGCCTGAGGGTAGCAGGAGTATTCTGGGACTGGAACGAGAGACCACAGAGTGGAATGAGAACCTCTTGAGGTAGGAGGAGTGTTCTATACCCCTAGGGGCTGTCATTCCACTCTGGGGCCTCTCATTCCAGTCCCAGAACTCTTCTGTTACTCCTAGGGGCTGTCATTCTAAGCTGGGGCCTGTCATTCCAGTCCCAGAGTAGTCTATTTGGGCCCAGAGACCCTAATGGAAAATCCATTCCGCATTTTCTTTGCAACTCTACTTGTACTGTAATGTATTTCAATGGAGCCCATGCAAGTCAAGTGGCATTCCTGGTTCCCATTATTTCCAATGGGCCTTCAAGTGTCTCCCATTGTTTCCAATGGACAATCCTGTCCTTCCTTTTAGTACATCCCAAATCGGGAGCCCCTAGTCTCCCATTCCATCTGTAAGCAACCCAGGCAGGTAGGCACGCCTGGCTCCTCAGCCGAAGAATCAGAGCCCCGGTCTCCCTTTCCATTCCCCCTTTAAAAAAACCCAAAACAATGCCAAACCCCTAACAAAATCAGATGGTGAGGGGGCGGGTGTGTGTGAAGAAATAGAGCTCCCTAGTCTCCTTTTTCACAATACCAAAACCCCCACTGCGAGCAAGCACATAGGCGGGTTGTTGTTTTTTTGCAGTGGAGTGGGGATGATAAGGGTGAGCTGCACACTGTGGAAGCCTGAGATGATGAGATCGCAGGTTGGAGGACAAACTGGGACCCGGGGGCAACCTCCCTTTACACTCTCCTGACATGAAAGGGGCCAATCGGGACCCAGGGTGATAACAAAACTTCCTCATGTGCCTTTGAACCCAGGAGTCTCGTACCTTTTATAGTAAACCGGCCAGGACAAGTAGGATCGAGCGCAGCTCATTTCTTCCCAAGAGAGCTCTGCTCAGCAACCAAGTACAGTTGTTAGCCCACTCGGGCTGATTTGGCAAATTCGAAGTTTCAGTCCTGTCCCGACTTGAAAGTGGCTCTTCAGTCACTGGAGCGCACACGCCGCTCCCTCCCCATTGGCCACTGCGCAAGCACGTGTGCACGCGGGGGGTTGGGCTGGTTGGCTGGCTGGTTGCTAAGGTAACCGTGCAGAGTGAGGAGTAACTTCCATCCAGCCTTAGCCTCCCCCCCCCGCGCCCGAAAGCTGGGCGTTAAGGACTGTGTGCCTCCTCCGCCTAGGGGTTATGGAGACTCCTGGGGCCCCACAGGCGCAGCAGCAGGAAGCGGGGCTGGAGGCAGCTCTGGAGGGACAGATAAATGAATGCTTCTGTAAGGCATGCCGTGGACTAGACTGCGTTTGCCGGCTCTTGCAGAGGAATGTGAAAGTTTTGAGCTTTGGAGGGAAGGAGGAAGAGCAGGCTGGGAAGACAGATAAATAGTTGCGATGGAGACCTGCCATTGTTCCCATCCGCCCCACCCCACCGGGCAGTATATGGTGGCGGTAGATGATAATAATCAGCACTGATACTTTCTCCCAGGACCAAGGGTCTGGGCTGGGTGGAATTGCATGTCTGGGTGGGCTGGGAGAGAGCAGAGCCTTTCACCCTCAGTCAGAGCTGCCCAAAGTGCTCAGATGGGTCCTTGCTGCTGCTCCTAGTGTGCGCTCAGAGGAGGCGCTGGAATGAGGAGGCAGTGGAGGTGGAGCAGAGGGGCATCTCCTCAGCTGGGGCTGCTGCTGCTCCCTGCATGAAAAGGGCAACAGCGACCGCCTTGCCTGGGAAAACGCGTTGAGCGGGGCTGCTGGAGGAGGAGGGGGGGTGGGGAGGTGGCAGTTGTAGTGGCGGTAGTAGTCCCTGGCTAGCCAGGCAGGCAGCAGAGCCAGCAAGGTAGATGGTGCGTGCGGCAGCTTGGGAGGTGCCGGGTGCTTCGA